TGGGCCTATTTTCCTCACGTAAAATGGACCTTGTTGTTGGAGGATTCGGCCTATAAAGACGTATAATGTAAATGTTAACAATCTTTGTGATATAAATGACAGAGTCTGCCTTAATCACGTGTTGAATGGGAAAAAAAATTCCATAATGTAAAATATGGTCTTTGAATGTGGAAGGAAAAAAAAAACTCTATAACGTGATATATGGTCTTCAAATGTGGAAGGTTTGAGACAGTCTGGCTTCAATCAGACCCGTTCACTTTTGCCCTGGGTGGAAGATCTCATCATTTGTCTCTGTCATTCATGGTGCCTAACCATCCCCACCCCACCTTTCTTCCCCCTCTTGCCTCCTCCTCAAAACCTGTGTCCCTACTTTGCTCATGGAGGACAAGAGCAGGCTCTTTTGCAATTGCAAAGGGAAGAATCAACACTTGGATACTTCTTGTTGCCTGAGGCAGAAGACTTCCTCCCCTTTTGGACAGGTCAAAGGAAGGCCCTTACCCTCCTGGGCCTCCAACCCTTCCCTGGGGAACTCAGAAAGAGCAGCACCATGGCAGTGGAGCAGCAGGGCAGGTTCCTACAGGCTTACCTGGAGGGCCCTCACCCATTCTCCTGGAGATGCCTGGAAATTCCGAAGTGAGGGAGCGTCTTTCTGGCAAGGGAGCACATTGTGGAAGCAAATAGTGTGTTCCTTGGTGAGTTCTCCCAGACTGCACCACTCCCAGAGATGAAAGGAGCATCTGGGATTCCCACAAGCCCTGCATAATAGCTTGGAGAAAGTGCAGTACACTTCAATTACGCAGCCGTCTTCAGCGTGCATTTTAACATGAGACTATGATGTTGCAGGGTCATTACAAGCAATAAGCAGAGATCTCCCTGCTCAGAATGGGGATTGGGATCTGATAGGAATCTCCTTGAGCCCGCAGCTATAGTGAGTGCCAGAAATTACCCACAATGACTGACCAACACCCAGAAGGAGGCCCTCACTGGCTGCCAGTCACAAGCTCAGCATTGTTCGCAATGCAAAGTCAAGGAGCGATTCTTGCTTGAGTCACCGTCTTTGAGGATATCACTGAGACATAAGAAAGGCCTGGAAAATGAAATGTGCTCAGTTGCAAAGAACAAGTTGTAACTGGTCAGAAGGGTTTTTGTTTCACAGCATTTTCCCATTCTGGGCCAAAATGGACACTTGCGGAGCATTTTGTATCCTTGGAAGAACTTAGGAAAGACTCCTGCTAAAGTTTTCAAAAGTTTTGCAGTTCAGTCATTGCCTTTTATTATTTATGTCTCACCAGTAGGAGAAGAAGAAGAAGAAGAAGAAGAACATAGTAATAACACCACTCATTGGCTGCTAAACGACATGCCACCCATGCACTATGCTGAACACATTTAAAATATCTTGCCTCTCTGGGATGTGGGGCAGATGAAGAGGGGGAGCACTGAGAAGCCCAACAGCCAGCTCAGGGCCCCAGGACAAGACTCAAACTAGTTTCTCCCCAACTTCATGGTGTTGATCTTTGGTGACAATGAATAAATGCCCCAAGAAGAAAATGTCGGTCACCTACATGTAAGTGAGTGTCGAAGGACGGCCCATTCCAAACAACTCCCAGGTTCAGCTTTTTGACACACACACATTGTCATCAGGCCAACATGCCCACCTCCTCCCCAAGCCATCTTTGTCACATGACTCAAGTGTCATGTTTTGTTAGCGTCGCTAAATGGTTAGGTGAACACCTGTCCCATCAAGAAAGGACAAAGACAGCTAATGGGAAGAGCACACAGATTAGAGATGAAACCTCTTGGAGCAAATTCTCTCCTCAAGAAGTTGTACTGATGAAGCTGTAGGAGGTTTGTCTCTGAAACATATTCCTACCTAGTCATAGAGCCTGAACTCATTTCAAGGCTGAAAACTGAGCTGTGGGCTTCAACTTCACAAAATCTTGGTGAAATCATTCACAGTAAGTGTGCAGAAAGGAAACAGTATCCTTGTGCCAAGAAGGGGCTGAAACAAAAGGTCTTTATTTTAGGAGTCTGAGAGAGTTCATTTTATTTCACAAGAAGCCCTAGATTTTGCTTTCACTTATGATACATGTTGATAGGTGTGCGCCTGGGGAGCCATTCTCCCAAAGGATGATATGCACTTTTCATACACTCCATAAATATGAAGTCATTACAATGGTCCCCTTGAGGGAGAGATAGGATTCTGGATTGAGAGAGCAGGTAATCAGATGCCTGGGAAGAAAGGGAGAAGGCAACAGGGCAGGTCGCCAGAAAGTAGTGGGAAACAAGATAGGGACCTGTTTACTGGAACTAAGGTAGAGTCAGGGTCTTGGGCTTCAGAAACAAGGTGAGCCCAGTTTCTGATACAAAGCTACCTGTTCAGAGTTGGACAAGCCACAGGCTGATTTGGTGCCGAGCCACCCAGCTCCCCGCATGTCGGGTTTCTGAAATTCTCGAGGATTAGCAAGAGGACTGGTCTGGCTAATATACCCTCTCCCTAGAATAGCTTTCCTTCCTTCCCTACCTGGTGAACTCATGCATTCTTTAAAACTCAGCTCAATTGTCCAAGGGGACAGACATTTCGTGTCCGTGACACTCAGTGCTACGGATTCCAGCTTGGCAGCCTTCTCCCTCTTGTTTCATAAGCTGAGCTCATTGCACCCCTCCCTCTTGGCCACATGGCATTGTGTGCATGTTACATTTCATCACGATCATTATTATAGGAAAGCATTCTATCACATTGGTTTGGAATATGAACTTTGAGGCCTTAGTTCGAATCATGGTTCCAACCACTTCCTACCTGTATGGCTTGGAGAAGATGACTTGACATCTCCATCTCTCTATTTCCTCATCTGTAAAATGGGTTCATAATTCACTACCTGTGGCATCTGGTTATGCTGAAGATCAAATGAAATGATTGTTGAGAACGAAATGAGACAATGCATGGAAAGCACTCAGCGCCTGGCTAACCATAAGCAGGAGCTCAGGAGATTGTAGCTGGCAGACTATTGCTGCTCTTTTCAGGCTGCCAGCCAGAAACCTGCTCCTGTTACCTCAGTTGACAGGGATAAAAGCACTTGTAGAAGCAAAGAAAGCAGACAAATGCCGCCACCACCACCACCTAGTTAACTAGAAGGTCCTTCAGGATGCAGCCATTGAGTTAGCTGGCCTGGAAGGAAGAGTACTCAACCCAGAGAGACTCCTTATATGGGCTAAGGAGTGGACAAAGCACGTATGACCCCTCGGAGGGAGTGAGACACAGTCGAGGCAGATGGAGGCCCTAAACAGAAGCCACCAGTAGGAAGAAGAAGGGCAAGCCAGCAGTAGGAGCTGGCAGGGCAGAAGCCAGCAAGTCACTGCACTGAGGACCACAAAGCAAGGACGCCCCTGGGCCAGCTGCCACTGCTACTGGAGGGTTTGGGATCCGAGACACAAGCTGGAGCTGCTTCCCCTGGGCCACACAGCATTATATTCCAGAGAATGGGTTTTTATTAACAGCTTAATATTTAGTGAGTGCTTTCCATATACTATCTCCTTTCATCCTTTCACGATCCCCCCAAACCTTGAGATAAGTGCAGTCATGACACTCATTTTAGAAGAGGCACAAAGCCGATGAACTTGCCCAAGGCCACACAGCTAATATGTGATGGAGGAGGGGACTCCCTATCTCCATCTTTCTGATTCTAAAGCCTGTTCCCCACCAGCCCCACATTTCCCTCCCTGTATGAGTCCTTTACTTTCCTTTGTCACAAAGTAGATGTCATCATCATCATCGATCTTCATGAATCTCACTTCTGAAATAAACCCTTGTAAGGAAATATATAGAGGACTCAATCTCTTTCTGGAACTCCCCTTGATGATTCAACATTAGAGGTGGAATTCTTCAAATGGCTTTGCCATCTCTGTGATAAAATTATCCGCAGCCCTTTTCAGTTTCTTTTGTTTATCCAACTTTATGTCGTCGTTGGGGGGGAAGGGAGAACAAACGCCCAACGCCTGTCATAATGGTGCAGAGCTAAGGTCAGGCTCCCCAGCCACATGAGCCCTGGTTGATCTTAACTCTCACCAATCAGAGAGCAGGTTTCTCTTCCAGGACCTGAGCTGAGCTGTGTGCTGTCTTGGGACATTAGGTCTCTTCATGCATTATTCATCAAGGAAGGCTCTAACACTTAAGAAAAACTTCTGTGCGTGGGCTGGCCCACTCACCCACCCAGAGCCCAGTGTTCACAGGCCAGCCTCATCATTACAGGGGTTCAAAAACAGACAGTTGTGAAGGACTCTCCTCCCCTCCTTACATGGAGCTGTCAGAACTCTCCTTAGAGCAGGAACCTGCCATCGGTGGCCTCACAAACAGAAAGAGCAAAAGCCCAGAAAAGGAAGTGGAGGGAGGGAGGCCTCGAATACTCTGATTTACATGAAAAAAGTCCAAGGTTAAGTGCTCCTAAGGGCTTGGCTTCAAGCCAAGAGAAAACCCTGGCTTGGAAGGATGCCAGGGAAGGAGCAGTGTGCGATTGAAATTTGCCTGGTAGAGGGGGGCAAGGTGGGCTTGGGGACCTCACAACCCACTTCAAGTTGGAAAACCAGAGCAGACCTCAGGGTTCCATTATGTAGTTCTTACTCAGGCGACTTCTACTTTCAACCCTCAAAGCTGTCCCAGGTATAACGAGCTCCCAGAACATGTGTCAAAGAATGATCAACACAGATAAAGCTGGGTTTGCAGTTGGGTACCATTTTGGATTTCTGTTGAATTCACCATCCAACACACAAATACTGTCTGTTAAGAGATTTTATCTGCATATACGCCTACGTTCATAGGCACATATATGTACATACCTGTAGACATACCTATGTGTTATCTATTTGTTATAAAAGGCAAAAAAAAGCACAACCATTTCCTAGTTCCTCAAAATCCCCTCTGCTTTGGGGGACGCTAGATGAGGACATGACATCATGCTGAGTGAGGGAAAGAAATCCGAAGAAACAAACTTCTTATTGTTTTTCAGGTTTTACATTGAGAGCATATCGTTTTTAAAGGATAAAACCACCGTGGAGCTGTTTTTCCTGAATGCAAAGTCCTGTGTACACAAGGTAATGTACCCCATTTGTTATGTTCAGTGAATGATTCCAGAATAGAGAAATGGTGTTGCCTATATTTTCATGTTCAAAGAAAATAGCCATAATCTTTTCTACTGATATTTCCTACCCTGCCATTAAAAAAAAAATTAAAATTTACACAAAAGGCAGCTCTTCTCAAATTCTGACTGTGAAAGACAGCCATCTGCAGGGGACTCATGCTCAGAGACAATTACCACTACCTTAAATGCCCCTAATACTCCACACAGAATAATCCAGAAAGACACAAAGATGGATCCATCAGATTGTGATTGAAACCTCAGAAAAGTCATGCTGGAAATTTTGCATACTCTATTAAATAAGATTTCCATAATTCAAAACCAGTCTTATTTAGGGGTCTCTGCTCCCATGTGTTTTAAAGCCATGTCTCAGTTATCTGTGGTGAGGGACTAGTTTTTTGTTTTATTGTTTTTTATTTGTATCCAATCTATGAAGGACACGTTGCTTTTGTAAAATTCAGTTAACATGAATTGCCAGAAAAATGATCCCATGCCTGGGTGTCAAATTGCTATAAAGCATTCTCAATTTTGATCTTACCTCCTTGCAGACAATGATTGCTTTCAAGGCCCCCCACTCTGACCTCCTCAAACCACACCCTTGGCCAGAACAGGCAGTCTGTGAACCCATATATGCACATCTAGACCAAACTTCTCCATTCTAGGTTACAGTCTCAGCATTCAGGATCGCAGAGCCCATGTCCACTTCCAAGGCCAATGGGATCCCTTGCTGTCCAGATACATCACCCTAAATCTGAGAGGTGACCAGGGTGCCTGGCCTAGAAAGACAAGGGGACAGGCTCTATATGGGTTAGGGAGCCTACACGGGTACATTTCCCCTAGGCCCCCAGAACGTTAAGGATGGCTTACTGCACACACACACAGTTTTAATTGATAGAAGACTCAGACGGAGCAGAGTTTTTGTTGAATTTTTTTAAAAACAACTATATTGAGAAATAAGTGACCATACATATTTGAAGTGTACAGTCTTATAAGTTTTAACATATCTTAGCCATGAAATGATCGCCAAAATCAAGGTAGTGAATATGCCCAGCAACTACACATCTGCTTTTTCTCACAAGGGAGCAATTCACATTTTCTAGAGTTGTATATAGATGGAATCATACAATAGATAATATGTCTTCTTTCTTTTTTTTTTTTTAAAGATTTTATTTATTTATTTAAGAAAGAGAGAGCAAGTGGCGGTGGAAGGGGCAACGGGAGAGGGGAAAAACAGACTCCCTCGTAAGTAGGGAGCCAGATGTGGGGTTCAATCCCAGGACCCCTGAAATCATGACCTGAGCTGAAGGCAGATGCTTAACCAACTGAGCCACTCAAGAGCCCCATCATTTTGTCTTCTTTCAATGAGTATGATTATTTTGAGATTCATCTGTGTTGTTATGTGTATCAATGGCCCATTCCTTTTTATTGCTGAAATATTCCATTTTATGGATGTACCTTAAATTGTTTTTCAGTTCTCCCATGGGTTTTTTTCCTAGCCTTACTGAGATACAATTAACATATTACACTCTGTAAATTTAAGGAGTATAATAGGATGATCTGATACACATATATGTTACAAAATGATCCATTCACCTGTTAATGGACATTTGGGTTGTGCCAATTTGGGGACTTTTACAAGTGAAAACACAATGAACATTCATGTACAAGTCATTGCATATACACATACTATCTTTTTTCTTGGGTAAATACGTAGGAGCAGAATGGCCAGATCTTATGGTAGCTTAACTTTTTAAGGTACTGTTACACTATTTTCCAAAGTGGTTTTCAAAAATCAGTTGTCCATATATGCATGAGTTTATTTCTGGACCCTGTATTTTGTTTCATTGATCTTTTTTTTTTTTATAAATTAATTTTTATTGGTGTTCAATTTACCAACATACAGAATAACACCCAGTGCTCATCCCGTCAAGTGTCCCCAACCGTGCCCGTCACCCATTCACCCCCACCCCCCGCCCTCCTCCCCTTCCACCACCCCTAGTTCATTTCCCAGAGTTAGAAGTCTTTATGTTCTGTGTCCCTTTCTGATATCTCCCACACATTTCTTCTCCCTTCCCTTATATTCCCCTTCACTATTATTCATATTCCCCAAATGAGTGAGAACATACACTGTTTGTCCTTCTCCGATTGACTTACTTCACTCAGCATAATACCCTCCAGTTCCATCCACGTTGAAGCAAATGGTGGGTATTTGTCGTTTCTAATGGCTGAGTAATATTCCATTGTATACATAAACCACATCTTCTTTATCCATTCATCTTTCGATGGGCACTGAGGCTCCTTCCACAGTTTGGCTATTGTGGACATGGCTGCTAGAAACATCGGGGTGCAGGTGCCCCGGCGTTTCATTGCATCTGAATCTTCGGGGTAAATCCCTAACAGTGCAATTGCTGGGTCGTAGGGCAGGTCTATTTTTAATTCTTTGAGGAACCTCCACACAGTTTTCCAGAGTGGCTGCACCAGTTCACATTCCCACCAACAGTGTAAGAGTGTTCCCTTTTCTCCGCATCCTCTCCAACATTTGTTGTTTCCTGCCTTATTAATTTTCCCCATTCTCACTGGTGTGAGGTGGTATCTCATTGTGGTTTTGATTTGTATTTCCCTGATGGCAAGTGATGCAGAGCATTTTCTCATGTGCATGTTGGCCATGTCTATGTCTTCCTCTGTGAGACTTCTCTTCATGTCTTTTGCCCATTTCATGATTGGATTGTTTGTTTCTTTGGTGTTGAGTTTAAGAAGTTCTTTATAGATTTTGGAAACTAGCCCTTTATCTGATATGTTATTTGCAAATATCTTCTCCCATTCTGTAGGTTGTCTTTGAGTTTTGTTGACTGTATCCTTTGCTGTGCAAAAGCTTCTTATCTTGATGAAGTCCCAATAGTTCATTTTTGCTTTTGTTTCTTTTGTTTTCGTGGATGTATCTTGCAAGAAGTTACTGTGGCCAAGTTCAAAAAGGGTGTTGCCTGTGTTCTCCTCTAGGATTTTGATGGAGTCTTGTCTCACATTTAAATCTTTCATCCATTTTGAGTTTATCTTTGTGTATGGTGCAAGAGAGTGGTCTAGTTTCATTCTTCTGCATGTGGATGACCAATTTTCCCAGCACCATTTATTGAAGAGACTGTCTTTCTTCCAGTGGATCGTCTTTCCTCCTTTGTCGAATATTAGTTGACCATAAAGTTCAGGGTCCATTTCTGGGTTCTCTATTCTGTTCCATTGGTCTATGTGTCTGTTTTTGTGCCAGGACCACACTGTCTTGATGACCACAGCTTTGTAGTACAACCTGAAATCTGGCATTGTGATGCCCCCAGCTATGGTTTTCTTTTTTAAAATTCCCCTGGCTGTTCGGGGTCTTTTCTGATTCCACACAAATCTTAAAATAATTTGTTCTAAGTCTCTGAAGAAAGTCCATGGTATTTTGATAGGGATTGCATTGAACGTGTAAATTGCCCTGGGTAGCATTGACATTTTCACAATATTAATTCTGCCAATCCATGAGCATGGAATATTTTTCCATCTCTTTGTGTCTTCCTCAATTTCTTTCAGAAGTGTTCTATAGTTTTTAGGGTATAGATCCTTTACCTCTTTGGTTAGGTTTATTCCTAGGTATCTTATGCTTTTGGGTGCAATTGTAAATGGGATTGACTCCTTAATTTCTCTTTCTTCAGTCTCATTGTTAGTGTATAGGAATGCCATTGATTTCTGGGCATTGATTTTGTATCCTGCCACGCTACCAAATTGCTGTATGAGTTCTAGCAATCTTGGGGTGGAGGCTTTTGGGTTTTCTATGTAGAGTATCATGTCATCGGCGAAGAGGGAGAGTTTGACTTCTTCTTTGCCAATTTGAATGCCTTTAATGTCTTTTTGTTGTCTGATTGCTGAGGCTAGGACTTCCAATACTATGTTGAATAGCAGTGGTGAGAGTGGACATCCCTGTCTGGTTCCTGATCTTAGGGGAAAGGCTCCCAGTGCTTCCCCATTGAGAATGATATTTGCTGTGGGCTTTTCGTAGATGGCTTTTAAGATATTGAGGAAAGTTCCCTCTATCCCTACACTCTGAAGAGTTTTGATCAGGAATGGATGCTGTATTTTGTCAAATGCTTTCTCTGCATCTAATGAGAGGATCATATGGTTCTTGGTTTTTCTCTTGCTGATATGATGAATCACATTGATTGTTTTACGAGTGTTGAACCAGCCTTGTGTCCCGGGGATAAATTCTACTTGGTCATGGTGAATAATTTTCTTAATGTGTTGTTGGATCCTATTGGCTAGTATCTTGTTGAGAATTTTTGCATCCATGTTCATCAGGGATATTGGTCTGTAATTCTCCTTTTTGGTGGGGTCTTTGTCTGGTTTTGGAATTAAGGTGATGCTGGCCTCATAGAATGAATTTGGAAGTACTCCATCTCTTTCTATCTTTCCAAACAGCTTTAGTAGAATAGGTATGATTTCTTCTTTAAACGTTTGATAGAATTCCCCTGGGAAGCCATCTGGCCCTGGACTCTTGTGTCTTGGGAGGTTTTTGATGACTTCTTCAATTTCCTCCCTGGTTATTGGCCTGTTCAGGTTTTCTATTTCTTCCTGCTCCAGTTTTGGTAGTTTGTGGCTTTCCAGGAATGCGTCCATTTCTTCTAGATTGCCTAATTTATTGGCGTAGAGCTGTTCATAATATGTTTTTAAAATCGTTTGTATTTCCTTGGTGTTGGTAGTGATCTCTCCTTTCTCATTCATGATTTTATTAATTTGAGTCTTCTCTCTCTTCTTTTTGATAAGGTTGGCTAATGGTTTATCTATCTTATTAATTCTTTCAAAGAACCAACTCCTGGTTCTATTGATCTGTTCCACAGTTCTTCTGGTCTCAATTTCGTTGATTTCTGCTCGAATTTTAATTAACTCTCTTCTTCTGCTGGGCGTCGGGTCGATTTGCTGCTTCTTCTCTAG